CTTCTTCTTTGGTTGGAAGTCTCCTGGTCCTTTAATTTGGTTTTTTATAATTGGCACTGACTGGGATTCCAGACAACCCCTATAGAGTGTCTGTCCTTATCCCAGCACTTGGATACGAGTTCCAGGCGACCCCTATAGAGCGTCTGTCCTTACTCGTATATTAATATCATCCCTTGGATTCCAGGTGCCCCCTCAGAGTTCCTGTCCTTATCCAACTGGGAATTATATCTGGGTTACAGGCGTCCCTTGTAGTCCGTCTGTCCTTACCCAGATTTTAACGTTCTCCAGACGACAGGAGCCCCTTATTGTGTTCCACTGTCGTCGGGGAATGGAGGAAACTGTTTTTGTCTTCCTCATTGAGTGCCCAGCCATCCTCATCGGGTTCGCTCGATCTGGAAGGCACTGGTGAAGCGACCTTTAAGGGGCGATCTACCTCCAAAATTACTAATCATTCTGATAAACAGGCTACCAGGAGACACCAAGCCTTGGAAAAAGGAGTTTTTTTCCAGAACGCAGAAGAGAGCCAGAATAGAGACATATGAGTCCACGGGATTAGTCCTCTACTTACCCCTTGGGGTATCAGCCTCACCTAGGGGTGTTTAGTCGGGTGGGGAGTCATTCTCTTCTACCACGCAGGGCAGAACAAATGATGTTCATTTGCTTCCCAGCCTTCCTTGTCAAGGACAGCGCAGGGAGTTCCTGAGGCCTCGTTTACCCCTAATGCGGCAGGGTTTCGCCCGGCGGACCCGATTCCCTTCCCTTCGGAAGAGCATCTGGCTCTATTACTCACACAGGAGGTTGGCCGTGCTCTGGATGCCAGAAGCGGACCGTTAGGCCACTTCCAACTCCTGTCCCACGGTTAGAGGATGAGACCCATCATAATTCATCGTCTCCATCTGGGTCTTGTGTTTTGAGGTTTCATACCTCATCCATTCCCCTCTTGAACAGGAGATCCAGTTGTCAGAGGAAGAACGGGTACCTCAACAGATACCCATGTTTGCTGGCTTATTTAACCCTGTTTTCTTTGTTTCCATACTGCGCAAGGCCACGTCCAGGGCTCATCTGGGACAGGGTTCCGCAGCTGTACAGGATTCCGCTCCGCCTGATGCGAAGACGGCTCCAGGTTACGTAGAACCGGTTGCGTAGCAACACCGTATCTCCTGTCCTTCTTATCCCTGAATGTTATCAGGAAACAGTAATCATCTCCGACTTCGATTCCCTTGTCAGTTAATTCGGACAAAAACCTGTATAATGTGACCAGGAGCTGGAGGAGGCTCTGGAGGGTTCCGAAGGTGGACGAACCATTGGGAGCCCTGGTATCAGTCACTGCCATAACCGGCGGATTTCAGAAGCCCTTAAGGCCGAGGATCGCAAGTGCGAGTCCAAGGGGTCGCACCAGATGTCCTCCTGGGCGATCAGGGCTGATACCTCAGCCTCCCCCCCCTTTTTTTCAATAGGACCGCCTTCACCTGACTCCGGGAACTCCAAGTCCGGATTCCAGCGAAGGAGGTCCGCACGCTCCTGGGCCTCAGTAAGAGGGTGGCTGTTACCGAGCATGCGTTGGACACTTCCTCACAGGCCGCCAGGGTTTCTTCAAGAGCTTTGGCATCCAATATAACTGGACGCCACATGCTCTGGCGGAAACATTGGCAAGCGGGCGCTAAGTCCAAATGGAAATTAGCAGCCGCTCCTTATCTGAATTCTAAGTTGTTCGGGGATTCTCTGAATCCCTACTTAGCGGAAGACAAAGATACACGCAAGGTCCTTAAAGACTTGCTAAAACGACTAAACAAGGTCTAGCTACTTACCACGAAGGCAGTCCTTTCGTGGGGAGCGAGATAATTAAACCCAACAATTTCGCTCATTTCCTCCCAGGCAGGACAGTCAGGATAGACAACCTGATAGGCACAATCCCGAGCTCAGGCAACACCCTCATGGGATACGGTCCTTTCGAGGGAACAGCAGGTTTTTCGCCGTTCAAGGTGACTCATCGGCGACTCTTCCCATAAGGGGCTGACTTGCTCTGTTTGCCTGCTAATGGGAGACAACTCCCACCCCCCAAATCGGTTCCCTTTTCCTGTCCGCAACCCCGAAACCGTTCAAAACAAAGGCTGATGGACGATGCGGTCCAACACTTGTTA